TTTAACTACTCAATAAACATAACACAATAAAAATACAGAGTATTTTTAAATTAAATTATGCAAGGAAGTTCTATGTTGCAAATTAATTTTGTTATCTTGAATATTTTCTTTGTTCAAGGAAGAGTGAAAGAGCTCTGATTAAATTAATTAAAACAATTCTCCAGTTGAATAAAGATAAAAAGAGAAGAGGAAAATGATGGATAGCTTCCTGCATAGTGCAATGGGACTTAGAGCTGCACCTACTGCTGTTCTGGTAGCATGAAACCAGTATCCTAATGGTCAGTTCAGTCTCGTTTGCTGGGAAGATGCTCTTTTCCTTCTCCAAGCAGCAAGGGGTGGTGTGAGTGGAGAACACAAATAACTCTGAGCAATGAAGCGCTGTAAGCACAAACGTCTGAAATACAGTAGTTCTTCCTTCCCATAAACACAGACTTCTGTGTAGAGAGATAATTGTTAGAAAAAGTCAAAACATCAGTGGAGAAAGTCAACAAAAACTTTAGGGTCCTTTAAGATGGTATGTAGAGGACTGTTCTTTTCAACAGTTTTCTTGTACTATGAGGCCTGCTGCAACCTAGCTGTGAGGGCTGAGTCATCTTGTTCTTGTATTCCATCTTCAGTTTAGTATCTGCATGATGGCTTACATTTAAAATAAAATACAGCAGTTCTTATAGAGACTCATGGGGATAAATTAATTGAACCTAGATGAAAATCATTGTGTTTTAAATAGATCTGGAAGCTCCATGATATAACTTCTTTGTAGCTTTAGATGATTTAACTTTTTTTGACAGTTAAACTTCTTATAGGACTTAGGGTGAATTTGCAATAGTTAACCAAGCAACAGGCATTGTATTTGAGTAGTGACTAAGCCACTGCTGGGAATAGTCTATGTAGTACTGTTGTAGTATGGATTTGGGAAGCAACTACACTAGGTTTAAGCAAGCCAGATTTACATGGCCTAAATTTAGACAATTGTGTTCAAAGAGATGTTGTGATTTGGCAAAGTACTGTGAATTGAAAAGTTACCTAAGGATGAAGCCATCCCACATGACCTGAATAGTCAGTCAAGTGGGAGGAGAATGAGTGAGAGGAAACCACAGAGATCAGATCTGTGACTTCAGTCTTTCATCTTGAACCTTGTCCTGCTGTTATTTAGTCTGTTGTGATTTTGAAATGTCTCTTAGCTGTGCCATAAAACTTAACTTTTGTACTAAGTTAAGTATGTTGGAGAACTAAATTGCTGTTAAATTTTTGCTTGTGGTGTGCTCAGTAGCAAGAGTAGAGGGTACGGCCTGTGTGAGCAGTCACCTCTTCTAAATGGCATAACTTGCACAGACACTCAAAAGTCTGAGGAGTGCTTACAAATCTATATTGCAGTCTGTTGTGTGTTGGTGGTCAAGAGGTTTGGGGTTTTACAGCTGCCCTCTGTAATCTTCTTGAAAAGAGACAAGGTGGATGCCTCTTCTGTCTCCAAAATCTGTTCTGAAACTCATGGGAAGAAATTGTCCTGAAAGGTTGTGAGAGGACATTTCTTAATGTTACCACCTGTTAATTGATAGCAAAGGTACCTAGGAAACATGTGGATGTAATAACTGTTATCCTCATAGGGATTTCTTCCATGCAAAGCAAGCAGGTAGTACCCTCCTGTGGACAGAAAGTCTTCTGTGCTTTGAGCTGTATACTCTTGTAACTGGTTTCTGTGCATTTTCCTACTCTATGTTTATGCTGCTCTCTGCAGCAGTAACAGATTTGACCTTCAACCACTAACAGAGCTGTGAGAAAAGGAACACTGATGAAAGTAGGCCTGGCTTCATAGCTTGTACTAAACTTGAAAGTCTTTTCAAGTGCATAGATATGACAGAACTATTAATTGAATCAGTTTATAGGTTTCTATCCACTTCTGTGGCATTTACCCACTTACACTGTGTTCTGTAAGAGTCACAGAAATGTACTGGATACTGAGGTACAGAGGAACAGTATTCCACATGTAACACTTCTATAGTCAGAAATTAAAAAAAAGCAGGAAGTGAACTAGAAGATGTGATGTGATGTGATAGTGATGTTTTCCCAGAGCCACATATGTGGTGTCAAGGCTGGAAATAGGAGTCCAGTTGTATCACTTCAAAGTGATGGCCTGTTCACTTCAAATGTCTTTTCATTTATGCCATCTCTCTTGGTAAGATCAGATATGTGACAGACCGCCCCAAAAAAATGTGCACACAGTTGTATTGACTCGGATATGGAAAGCAAGAAAATTACCGGATGTGGATATCATGGAAACTATGTGGAAGTATAACCTTTGTCATGGAGACATAACTGCACAGCAGCCTGGTCCTTGATTTCTTCTAGATTCTGTCTACCTGCATTTTCTGCTTTTCTATAATTGCTTATACAGACACCACAGGTTTTGTTGCTGGCATCCTCATGAACTGGATGATCTTTAAAGACCCAAGTCTGTATACCAATGTCTGGTGGACTTTATGTAAAGAGCCCTAGAAGAGATCCAGCTATGCCAACAGAAATCTTAGCAGTGCTTGTTTTGTCTGAGGGACTGGTGTAGACTACCTCAGGGAAGTCAGGACCCCTCTGGAAGGTGTGACATGTTAAGGCTATGCTTTTACTACAGACTAAAGTTCAAAGAGCTACCTGAATTATGCATAAATTAATATATTCAGTTAACAGGAGCAGTCACGCCATGAAGCTCTGACATAATTTCTCTCAAAAGGCAAAACAGATCAGTACTCAGAAATTTGAAAATTCAGGTATTTGCTCAGGTCCATTTCTGAAAGTTGTTATCTACCTTTCTTTTTTGAAAGGTATGTAATACCCTCAGATCTTCTTCTTACTTTCATAGTGCAGTTTTGATCACAAACACTTTGCAGTATCAATGTCCTTTCACAGTTGGATGGCTCCCTTTCCCCCAGGCACAAGTAACATGATACTACCTGATGGTTTAGCCAAATAAAAAAATGAAAATATGATACATTAAAGAGAACCAAAGCTTTCTTTCCTTGTCACAAGGAAATTACAATTGCAGGCAGAGAAAAGGTGGTCTGCTCTTAAGCAACCCAGATCTTATAAATACAGGAATTTTATAAGTACTAGAAGAAACAGACTGTTTTCCTGGAAATACCATAAAACATTTGCTACATGCTGGATGACCAAAGTCCTGGAAAGACATGAAACAGTACAGACAGCATATTGGTGTGTACCGAGCATCAGAAGACTGTCAGATTATTCTTCGTGGGTTCTTTACTTTCTCATTCAGGGAGTGATTGTGGATAATAGTCAGTTGGGTTGTTGTTTCCTCCTTCCAAGCTGATTGTCAAGTTGGTCAGTCCAAGTCTTGTGGCAATACTTAGCAGATAAAGAATCCACCACTGCACCTTGTGGTGTGACCAGTAGCAAGGGCTGCAGACAGGCACTGTGCAAAGCTGGGAGTGAGATGGCTGGGTAGAGAAAAAAAAATCTGAGAAACTGAGGCAATAGCACTTCTTTTCATGTACACTTTGCAGTGCATGGGGAGTCTGTAAAAGCTATCTGTTCTTGTTATTGCTTTGTATTAAGGTTGGGTAAACTTAGATATTGCTGGAATGAGAGGGCCAGAATATCAAGTTAGCCAAGACATTATAATGAGCTCATGGCAGCACTTCAGCTAGCATGAATATTCCCTATTTCATACTCTAAATGGTAGCTGAAATAAATATTCAAATTGTCTGTTATGGTTGAGGCAGAATGGAAATCAAGCTCATCTTTTTTGGGAACTGGTGGCAATTTAAATAATGACTTTAAATTGTTGTTGTTGTTGTTATTGTAAATTAAGCTCAAATCACAGGTGTACAGCTGTACCACAGTGCTACATTTCACATTTACTTCTCACTTGTACTGTAGAACAGTGACTTGTATAAAACATGGGATGTCTGGGAGAAGCAAAAAGCACAAATGCCAGCACTGCTGCACCATGTAGAGCAAACATCATGCAGCTACTCAGTATAATTTCATGCTGGCTGCTCATTTTTAGGAGCACTCTGATTCATTAGCTCAGCAGGAAGAAAATGGGAAGAAAATAATTAAGTTTCTTAACACTGAGAATTTGTGCTCATTTTGGAAAACACCTTACTACCACTACAACAATCCTGGGAAGAGCTGGGACTGAAATAGCACACTGTGATACAGTTTTCTACAAAGTCTCTTGGCAGAGCCTAAGACTAGGAAAATAGCAGTCAAAGGTGCCCTGTCCTGAGAGAGGATGAGGACAGCTTCCACAACACAAGTGAAAAACATGTTTTTCCTTATCCTAACATATATCCCTAGATCACAGCTTCTCTGAGAGATGTTTTAGAGACATCCAAGGACTGCCAGTCTCTTGTTCACTGGGTATGACAAAGAGTCTCTTTACTGAACACATCCTGGGGAAAAATCACACCTGGGCACCTTTTACAGTGCCATCACTGTACCCCACGTGCTTTTGTGGTAATGGCAAATGCACAGACAAGTACGTGGGGACAGATTGGACATGTGCTCTTCCTCAATGTTCTTTCCTCTTCCTGTTGGATTATTCTCTAGAGCAAGGGATATGGGGACAGGGAAGATAGGGAAGAAAATGATAACAAGAGTGAGGGAACATTCCAGGCAAATAACAGAAGATGACTGTAGAGAAGAAATGCATCCTGAAAGTTTAGAGAGGGAAGTTTTAAAAAATCACCGTGACATGTGGTTTCTCCTTTAGGTCATTATGTTGGGATGAGATCAGTACAATCATTGCTGTCATTCCTTTAATATTTCTTTCTGGATTCCTTCTCTGTGTTCAGCTGCGAATCATTTAATTAATTCTTGTCTGACTCCTCAGCATTTTAGCCAGGTCTTTTGACTATCTTATTCTTGCCCAACATTTGAATAGGCCTTCCTTGAGCGTGCAGACCCTAGGGGTTTTTTTAAGGACAGAGCTAGGTAACTTCAGAATAATTAGCTGACATTTCCTCCCCTTCCCTCTTTTTTTAAAGATAATTCCTCATCTCTCCAGGAAGATGAAGAGATAGATATGGAGGCTGTCAACTGGCAGCTGAACAACACCTCCATGAATGGCCATTCATCTACCCCAACCACAGTTCGCTTTCCCAGCTGGGTGACTTTTGATGACAATGAAGTCAGTTTTTCACCACAGAGCCTTTCTCCCTTGAAAACAGATACCCCACCTGCAGAAACACAGACTCCAGATGTTAACTTTAATCTCACTACATCCTTAAAGAAAAGAGAACGTCCTAAAAGCACACTGGGAGACCTCTCCAAAATTCAAAAATTAGATCTTTCCTCTTTAACCAAGTTGCCTTCTGTTGAAACACCACCATGGAGTGCTACCAATCCCTTTCTGGATGAATCGCTTCGAGATGTTCAACCCTCACCCATCAATCCATTCAGCTCATTCTTTGAGGAGCGAGAGAGGCGTTCCAAAAGCTCTTCTGTCTCCAGCGTTCCAGGCAAAAGCCAAAGAGACTCTCTCATTATTCTCCATCAAGAGCCTGACACCATCAGTTTTAATGAGGGAAACAAAACTGTAACCCACACAGATGCTGTAGAGCAGCTCAAACAGCTCCAGATTGGAGACCCAGATCGTGTGAGCGGTCCTACCTTGCCTGATGATGACCCCATGATGCCATATGATCTGGAGGCAGCTTTTTTTAACCTGGCACCAGCTCAGCCAAAGGACGGATGGCCAATGATGCTGAGGATCCCAGAGAAGAAGAACATTATGTCATCCAGGCACTGGGGACCAATATATGTCAAGCTGACCAACAGTGGATGTATACAACTTTTTTATGAGAAGGGACTGGAGAAGCCTTTTCGGGAACTCAAACTTGAAATCAATCATGAGATTTCAGAGCGCAAACTGCAGAACTACGATGAGAATGGAAGGATACACAGCGTGCGGTTGGATCGCACAACGTACAAGGAGAAAAAGAAGTATCAGCCTAAGCCAGCCATTGCACACACTGCAGAGAGAGAGCAAATTATCAAACTTGGGACTACAGATTATGAAGACTTCCTTAGCTTCATCACTGCTGTGCAAGACACACTGATGAACTTGCCAGCTTCATCAACGGATCTGAGCACAGTAGGACTGAATTATCAGGAAGAAGAAATCACTGTGGATGTCAGGGATGAGTTTCATGGCATCTTGGCCAAGGGAGATAGTGTGATTCTCCAGCACAGTGTGCTGACTCATATCTATGTTCTCAGCTTCCTTTCTGGCCTGGCAGAATGCAGACTGGGCCTTAACGATATCCTGATCAAAGGGAATGAAATAGTTGCAAGGCAGGATATTATGCCTACTACTACCACTAAGTGGATTAAATTATACAGCTGCCGGTTCCATTCATGTGTGGATGAGGATATGTTTAATAACTCCCGTATTATCCTGTTCAACCCGCTGGATGCCTGTCGGTTTGAACTGATGAGATTCAGGACTGTCTTTGCTGAGAAAAGTTTGCCTTTCACTCTGAGGACAGCTGCCAGCATCAATGGTGCTGAGGTGGAGGTGCAGAGCTGGCTGATGATGTCCACGGGGTTCTCTTCCAATCACGACCCTTTAACTCAGGTCCCTTGTGAAAACGTGATGATCCGCTACCCCGTGCCAAGTGAGTGGGTGAAGAACTTTCGCAGGGAGAGTGTCCTGGGGGAGAAATCTTTGAAAGCCAAGGTGAACAAGGGAGCCACTTTTGGATCAACCAGTGTGTCTGGTTCTGAGCCAGTAATGAGAGTAACTTTGGGAACTGCCAAATACGAGCATGCCTTTAATTCCATTGTATGGAGGATAAACCGACTGCCTGACAAAAACTCAGGTGAGTGGCACGTACCATCTCTGCAGGAATAAACTAGAATGAGTTATGTATTTTGAAAGATCGAAATACTGAGTTTAAATGGTGAGAGATGTATCATCCTCTGTAGTATACCAAAGGGCATAAATTTGTTGCATGAAGTATTTGTCTGACCCTTCATTGTAACAGTTTTATGTATACTACAAATATAGCTAATGCTTTATGTTTTCTAGATGCAAAAATATGTGTTCTATTTCTGCTTGGAAGTATTTAAAAGAGGTAGTAATTAGGGAAATGGTTTAGTGGTAGACAAGATTAGTGCTATTTAATGGTTAATGATTAATGGTTGGACTTGATGATCTTAAAGATGTTTTCCAATACGTGGTTCTGTGATTCTCTGATTATGAAACCTAGGCACCGATCTATGTGTTCCATACCGTTATTGGCAGCAGGGCTTTTCACGTAACTTGCAAAAGCAAGATTCTATGCTATGGGACTGAATGGGAGGATCAGATAAATTGCTTTAGCTCCAGCACATGTGATACCTTTTCCATGCATTGCCAAGTATACTGGGCCATTGCTGTATATTTCAATGCATATGCCACAGTTAATGCCTCTGAATTATCTGAAATGGGGATTGTAAGAGAACAGAAGACATTGCTTAACCATTTAAAAAAAAAAATAGAAATTTACAAACACCATTTTGTGGCTATGTTTCTGTAATCAGTGCAGACAGGGAATTAGAGCTTAAACCTGAAGAGAGAATACCAATATGAAATCCACTTTGTGTTTCTATCCCAAGTCTTTGTATTTCTAGTAACATGGTTATAATTAAACATCAAAATAATTAGGCAAGCTACTGGCCCTTTGGCCATTACGGCCAGTCATTCTATTTGCTGCCTGTCATCCATGGTGCACAATAAAGCTGGACAACTCAGTTTTATTTTTATTTGTAGTGAATTCTACTTCTTGACCTCTCTGATCTAGAATAGCTTTTTGCAAATGAGATGGACTTTTCAATATTAATGCTCTAGTAATGCATCGGGGTGACTGGAAGGGTTTCTGTATTCAGTGCTCCCTGCAGGAAAGTTCATTGTGGTACCAGATTCGGCACTCTCTATATGTTTTTCCTGAGTTTGAGTTATAGTGTCAGCAAAACAGTGATCCAAGTGTCCTAATCTTTTGGGTCACATTTCAGCCAAAGACACTAGTTTACCCCACTGGTTACAAATTTGGAGGGATACCACTGGAAAAAAAGAAAGGCTCCAGGTTTCCAGTAGACTGAGGTGTAAGAAGACAGAGCTTGGAAACTTGAGAGCAATACAGCAATGAAAAATTAACCACAGGCTGTTTATGAGCAATAACATGCTTGTGAGGAAAATCTCAATATGCATGAGCTCTGGGAATGAGATGTTGTGAAAATGGGCCTTCTGTGGTGTCTTCTCTCCAAAGATCTCAGTGTACCATGCAGACATCACAGCTGAGGAAACAGAAGCCCTCAGACTTTAACACAATCACAGAACATGCCAGTAGCAAACCAGGAGAAGAGGCAAAACTCCTGTCTCTGCTGCCTCCTGCAAGGTGATGCTGCCTTACCCATTGCTACTCTGAGGGGGATACTGATCTGTGCCTCTTGTTTCCGTCTTTCCTGTTGTGACTCTTTATTGTATATACGCTGTGACAGGGGGAAGGAAATACATTACAGATTTGTTGCTGCTGTTGGACCCCTGCCACAGAGCATCTATCCATCAGTGTCATCATGCAAAACACAGGGCAGTTGGTATTTGTTTACATCCTGAGAGGAAGAGAGTGTCCTCACCCCTCCGGTCAGATCAGATGTAATTTCAGGGAAAGGAAGAGCCTTGGAAGCCCTGTCTTGGCCAAGACACATGAGGTATGTGAGAGGGAGGGAATCCCAAAGTGATGACAGGGCAGGCCAAGTGTAGTTTAAATCTGACATTGCCCTTCAGGGACTATTTCTGTTTATTGATGGTACTTCATCCCATGGTTCTCCTTTCTCAAAGTATATGGCAAACAAAGTGGTACTCAGAAACATTCCTTCCCACTTGTTCTTAGATTTGCCTGATGGACAACATATGCTTTTGTCCAGGTGCTACTCATGTGGGATCTAACTGCCAGTCCTGTGCATGTTTGGCTGTATCCAGCTCTATCCACAAGTCAGATGATAAACCAACTACATGTATTTGCAAAGTCATTATAAATGATGCAGTTCTCAAGCACTAAACATAAAACTACTCCACTGACTCATACTTTACACTCTCTTACTGCAATATCTGTAACTCACCTCTAAGGGCATTCTGGGTCTTCTGTAAATACCTGGCCTGCTAATGAACTGCTTTGGCGCCTGGGACTCCAGCGCAGGAGAGAAGTAGTGGCATCACATTGGAGCTGAGGGAACTGCTGCAGGTGGCCACAGCCTGCAGCTCCACCTGCCTCCACAGGCTGCACAAAGGTCCACACCACTTGGGGCATATGCATTGCATGGGTCCTCCAGCACATGTGCCTGTCTGCCAGACATGCTCACAGGAGTACATATGTAAGCACGCATTTTGGGACTTTTTTGTTTATCCACAGTGCGTGCTCAGACACACAGTCCCTTGTAAACACAATCACAGAACTCCAGAGGTCTCCAGATAGCCAGCTGGATCTCCTGTGCACCACTCCATTCCCTGAATGGACTGGTGCAGTCTCTGTGTCGAGGTGAGGGGCATGAACCCCAGCCCTGCCATCCTCAGGAGAGCGTGTCCCTACGGAAGTGCACTACTTGTGTGCAGGTTGTAGCATCCTAAGCACCAGATTGTTAAGAATTACTTCAGCAGCTTTGCAATCTTATCTAATTTTTTTCTTTCTGTGCTTTCTAATGGGATGGGGCCCTTTGCACTCTCACTCTAGGAGACAGTGTTATCAGCACTGTCTGTATTATTTTGTAGCCAAAGTTTCTGCTCATGACCAAACATTGAAAAGCATGTGACAAAATAAGAACAGTGCATACTCTATGATTTGACCTAAGGAAAAAATATGGACAAGATTCTATTAAGCACACTGCTGAAATCCAAATAGCAAATATTTGTCCTTTTTTACAGCTTGGTAAACTTTATTGCCTGTCTCATATTTGATATTAATATGAGAAAAAGAGTTGATGAAGAACACCTACTTGTAGGCTATTTACAGCTCCAGTTGCTGCTGGCTGGATTTTACATGTTATTTTTTTAAAATCCACCAGTAGAATACTAGGGAAACCTCCAAACAGTCTTTGATCGTGGGAAAAGGCGCTTTCTGTGAAGCAGGGATGTAACATCTACGCAGAGCCATGGATCTGGATTTGAACTTTCCTCTAGTTTGGCTGTGGATCCCAGGCATGCTGCCTGGAATACTTTCTGAAGTAAATTGTATCTTTTAATCCAAACATGTTGGGACATTTGGAGTGCCATGAGTCATTTGAGACAGATTCTTTCCAATCACAGTTACACTTGTATATATATTTGAATTATCAGATCCTTGATTGTCAGAACAAACTGGAAGTAGTTCAAGGAAACAAGAGGTGCAAAACAAAAGCAGTGTGTTGATTATTGCTGATTTTACTAAGAAGGGTACCTGTCCATTAGAGAAAGAGCTGAACAGTCTGTAGAGGTGGTGCTTCATGAGCCTCATGCCCAGGACAGTAATGAGCACTGATAGGCTAGGTAATTTTGCAATAGCTTCAGTGGAGGAGTTGCTTTCTTAATCTGTTCACCTTGCTATCTGCCACACTGAGCTGGTTTAAATTAATAACTTCCATAATTTTTATGCATTTGGGGGGTGGGCAGTGCAGTGTGTTACCATGTGTCCAGTTGAAATTATGAACAGTTGAAATGCTCAGCTCTCCAAAGCACCTGGCATGCAGTGTGCTCAAGCCCAGTTAAACAATTCCCAGGGATCTACCCCAAAAGTAGCTGAGCACGTGCCAGCTCAGGAGTGTCGCAGCACAGGCTGAACGTTCTCCAGCTGTGCATGCAGCCTGCACCAGAGCACAGAACCACTCCTCCTGGGCTGCTGGCATTCTCCAGTCCGAAGGAGGGAGCAACCCACAGCAAACTAGAGAGGAAAAGTATATCAAAGCAGATGAGCAGGAAGGATTTAAATGAGAAGTCTGCTCAGAGTGGTACACTGTGAGGAAAGAGATATGAACGGATGGGGAACCTGAGACTGGGGATTGGTTGCCAGTACTGAGTGCTGAACACAGATTTTTGGAGCCAGTTTTAAGCATCTCCATAATGCAGTACCAGACAGCAGTGCTGTGTCACCCAAGGGCCCCATGGCAGATGCTGAACTGTGCTGCCACCATGGCTGTGCCCACTACAGCCAAGCTCAAGAACTGGCCAGCAGCAAAAGCACTGTGGTGCTGGGGGGCACAGTGATCTCCCTGAGAGCTCCTGGGGCTGCTGCTCTCCTTTGGTGGGCAGGAGCACCAGGAAGGCATGCTGTGGACCACAGCTTTTGATCCAGAAAAAGCGTGTCCATGTATGAAAAGCCAGGAAGGGCTGTCAGACAGACATCCTGGCTTGCTCCAGAACCAGGGCATATGGGTCAATACTCTGCTTGGGGTAATTAATCCTGAAGAAAAGCAGATGTATTTTAATGCTTGCGGAACTTGAGCTTCTATATCTGCTTGATAGTGCACCCATTCATTCATAATTTGGCTCCAGCTATGGTGCTGCATTTGCCTGCTCTCTGCTGAGCTGCACAGCTTCTCACTGGATTTGCTGCACACACATAAGTTTACAAACCTTCCAGCGGTGAGGGAACTTTGGCTAGACCGTTTTGAAATATGAGGCTGACTCCAGATGAAATTCTTACCCAGACTTACACTGAGTAGAATTTTTTTCCCAGCTCTATTTCAGAGGTCAAGTGGGATGTTGCAATGCCTAAGCCCTGTAAAGACTGCCTAATTTCATCCTATTGGGACAACTCGTATTTCAAAATCCCACATCTTGCTTTTTAGGCTTCACTTTAACAAGGCTGACTTTGGGCTAAGCAGGTGTATTCCTACTTTTCCCAGTGGGAGCTTCTGGGCTTTCCCCACCCAGTTCTCTTTACTCTGACTGCCTTCCTCCTTCCCTGTCTCTTGCTGACCTGCATGGAAAAGAACTTTCCTAGTGAACAAGTAGTCAGGAACCCTAAAGCCTATAATAAAGGCAGCAAGGATTCAGTTCATTTCCTTATACACTCCTTTACACATACATAGATAATAAGATCCTTTCAATCAGAAACCCCTGTGTGGCTGTGAAGGCTTTCATCCTAATTTTGCAAGTAAAGAAACTGAGGCAGAGACATTAAACTACATGCTCAAGAGTTTAAGGAGTTGACAGCAGTCAGAGAAAAAAGTTTGACTAGAAGTCCCTACTTTAATTTTTAAACATCACTGCTGTCTAGCAAAACAAAGAGGAAAAAACAGTAAGGGCCATTTACATATGACAGAGCTAAACATTACCTCCTCTCCTTTCCATCCTTAATGATTAGCCACCTTCTCATGGGTTCGAGTGAGGAATAAATGATTACTCTGAAGCTTTGCACAAATTTGCTTTTTAAACATGGGAAGGTTTTTTAACCTTATCCCATACATTTTCTTCTGCTAAAAAGGGGGATATTGATTTCAAATAAACATCAAATATTTCCAAATTCCTTCTTTCCTTACTATCATTTCATAACCTTTCACAAAGATGTGCCACAATGTACTTAGCATGTGACAGACACAGATGGAATCAACAGGACAAATACCTCTACCCTACTGTGCTTGATTTAGTTCTTATATATATTTTTATTTTCACCCACTAAAAGCAAACCAGAGTGATTAGCAATCCTTTTTGCATTTTCTTGAATTCCTTTGGTAACTTCAACCACATTGAAGCAGGTAAGACACTTGCTATAAACTAGTTCACTTAGAGAGATTCTCAGTTTCCTGCAGCTTCGTGATGCTGCTCTCTCCTAGGCGTTGTGTTTTGATTCATCTGACACAACTCTCATGACTATTTACTCTCTTTTTCCAGCTTCTGGCCATCCTCACTGCTTTTTCTGTCACCTGGAGCTTGGCTCTGACCGGGAAGTGCCTTCCAGTTTTGTCCGCTATGTAGATGTGGAATTTGACATGCCCACCACTTCTGCATCCAAAGCCACTGTTCGGTCCATCTCTGTCGAGGACAAGACCGATGTGAGGAAGTGGGTCAACTATTCAGCACACTACAGTTACAAGGTAAAACCAAGCAGTGCTAATCACCATGGTTACTTTGCATGCTTCATTGTCTTCAAAAGTATGAGCAGACAAAATACCATGGACAAAAGAGGTGGGAATTTGGCACATGCCAGGCTGTTTGCAGTAGCAACCCATGTGCAGCTATTGATTCATGGCAAATAAGCAGTAGATTATCCCTCAGCAAAGATGGAATAAATTTGCTTGCAGTTGCCTGTGGAAGAGCATGCACACAGCCAGCTCCTGGGGATTAGCTGGTATGGAGAGTTTGAATAGGGAGTTTTCCTGCTCTTCACAGTGGGAGTGCTACCGTGGGAGTCCTACTGCAGACAAAAGAATCACATTATTTCTCTGCTTAAATATTTCTTCCTTCTGCCTGCCCTAAGTAGAGGAGCAGATAGGAAAGCACACTATGTATATACCTGCCAAAATGTCTCAGTAAATTTGCATGTTAGCTGAATACTCAGCAGAGAAATTGGCGTCCTACCTTGCCTTCTCTGAGAGCAGTGATAAGAGATTCTGAAAAGACTCTCACAGCAAATATTTTTACTGGTAATTGTAATTATATTTTTAGTAGTTTCTTAAATTCCCTGGAGATGGTATTTGATCTTCCTAAGTATCCCTTTAAAGAATTAAAACATTGGATTATTCCCAAGTTTTCGGAGATTAGAAATTTAGAACCCAAACAAAGATCCCCTTGGCCCTGTCCCAATACAAATTGGTATCTGTAGGCCAAAGCACCTCTGAGCCTGAGGACAGCAGGGAGTGTGCTGATATTTGGGGTAGTGTTAGGCACTGCTTCAAGAAGCAGGGAGTTAGATTTGATGATCCTTATGGGTCCCTTCAAACTCAAGATCATTTAAAAAATCTCTTTGCTTTGTACATCAGTCTGCAGAATTTATAATTAAAGCTGGTTTTCTGCTGTGACGCAGGAAGCCACCTATCACCTGCAGATTTGATTCTGGGTTTGTATTCAGAGTACAACTGGGAATGGTAATGAATATAAAATTATGTGAGTTCTCTGTATGACACTATCTCTTCTGGAAATTATTTCGTGACACCACTGAATTGTAGAACTGCTTAGATTAGACTGAAAATCCTTATAATAAATAAAATCCCATTTTCCCTGATCCTCAGTCTGGTTTTCCTCAAAACTCTTTTAGTTCACCAAGGGTTTCTTCACCTGAGTACAAGAACCGCCACTGCAGAAGATTCGTGAATCTTTTGTTTTCTTTTCTCATTACAAATTTTCTTCTTCTTTGTCTTCTACCAGGTCGAAATAGAGCAGAAAAAAAGCTTGAATGAGGATCTGAAGGGAGAAAATACTGCAAATGTCAATGAATGTGCTACACAGTAAAGGAAGATCAGTTCACAAGTCCCAAGAGGGGTGGTCAAATTAACAGACCTGGAAGAAAGGACTTGCAGGGCTTGGGTATTTTTCTTTTAAAAAACAAGAGACTACTACTTTTAAAATAATGCTTTGAGGAGTATAATTTTTTTCCTTTGTGATGATCTGTACTTTGAGAAGAATGTGGTCAGTAGTTTGGAAGGAATCCATGGGCTTTTGCTGGAACGGTAGAAGTACAGTTGTACAGTCAAGCCTTTTCTGCCTTTTCACCATTTAGGTTCTGCACTCAAGTATGGTCTGGCAACCATCACAGCCACACCAGAAAAGAGCCTTTATCACACGATCTTGCCCTCCCACATGAAGCATTTTTTTTTCAATGCCTTTTGGTTTGGCCACTCACTGAATTGCTTCCTTCTGAACTGCCTAATAAAATTCAGGGAGGATCAAGTGAAAAATTATATAAAATCTCCTTTTTGAAATGGTCCACAGAGGGAAAACCCTGAGCATCATTCTGGAGAATCAATACACTGTATGACACACTCCTCATCTGAAATAAAGAGAATGGTCTCTCTGTTTTAGTAGATGAACTACAGACAGGAGAGCTGATCACAGAGCTCTGTTCAGCCCTTCCTGTCTCATCCCTTGAATGACAGCATGTCACTGTGCACGTTTTCACAGGGTTTGCACAAGTTACAAGGAAGCCTCTGCAATTTCTTAAAATTTTTATTTTGTAGTCTGAGCCGTTCTGGTATTTGGACTGAACATGGTCATGGCTGCTAGCAACAAGGAATGTGTGTTACAATAATGGAGATACTGGAGGGACTTCGCTGAGATTAGATCATTCCTGCCTAGAAAGATACTTAAGGGAAAAACATGGGGTTTAGTTTTGGATTTGGGATTTTTTTGTATGTTTGCTAGGATGGGTAAAATGGGTGGTCATTAAAAATGTCAGAACACAATTACTTTAACAGACAATGTTGTTTGTTTTCCTGAAAATCCTTGGAAGTCTGTCCAGCACAATAGTATTTTCATGTTCTATCTTGAACCTACAATGTAAGTTGTAGTAACAACAAAAAGTACAAAGTAACTTGTATCTTTATAATTACGTTTATAATACTCCCATTAACTGGGCCCCAGAATTTCTTTCCAAAAATTAACAAGCTTCTATCATTGAGATTTTTCATCTCCACTTAGCTGTAAATAATAGCAAGTCTTAAAACCTCTTTCTAAATAAAAATGCAGAAGACATAAGTCAGTCATTTACACATATTTTCAGAGAAAACAGTGTTAAAAGTACCCATTTTTAGTTGTTTCTATGGCTTGTGTAATATTTTGTCTCATAATGTTAAGTGTGAAGTAAGTAATTTATTAAATCATTTATCTTTTGAAAGGTTACTACTGACTATAAAATACACATTTGGAAAACTTTGGCAATGTAATTTAAAAGCATAATTAATTAAATGAAATATTTTTTATAAATTTATTTCATTTTACATTTAATACAAAAAAATAATACACTCTTGATTTACCACTTTCACTGTGACTCCTATAAAAATTAATACAGTGTTAAAATCCCAAATAAACCATGAAATTAATTTCAATGAGTCTGAAACTGGTAGTGGTAGAATTTGAAATAAATTGTAGGGAACTTAAAAATGCCTTTTTTATATGCACCTATATTTCAAGCCTGCATCACTCTAATGATACATACTTACACAGGTACAGCACTGTAAATATGTAAGGTCTCAGTCTTCTAGGGTTCACTAACAAGCCTGTAACACTCCATTGCAGGCAGCCCTTCTGGGCCCAGGGTGCACCTTGGAGCACACCAGTTAATACTAAGCATTTGCAACATCTGTCTGTAAATGGGAGAATGCTATTAACTTCTGTGAAGAATTCTGAGCTCAGTGGATTAAAATTTCTGATACTATTAATGATAACTTGTATAGGTTGTGAAATACCTGAGAGCACAAGGCTGAATTTGTGACTGATTCTCAGCTCTGGCACAGCCTGGCTGTGATGAGTTGCATGGCAACTCCTCTACAAAAATCACTCCTGTTCAAAGGCAGTCAAAGAATTTCTGGGTGGACTTCCTGCTTTTCACTGCAGCTCTTAATGTACAGTTTCTGAAATGATATCATCAAGAAATAAAAAAAACCAAACAAAAACAAGCTGAAGCAGTGCTGAGATGTTACTGAGAAAATGTGAGAATATTTTTTGAAAGAAATGGAGATTTTCTACTCTGACCTGCAGGCTCAGTGTCTGAGTTTTTTGCCTATTGCCCCTCAGCTCATGGAAACACAAAGTAATACAAGTTAGCAAAGTTATGTTGTACACCTTAAGAGGGGAGAAAATAAAAGGAATGTAATTTTCCATCACTGTTGAATTGTTAAACTATTCAGCCTCTATCATACTTGTACCACAGAACATTCTATATTCCAGTAACTGAAAGATAAACATATTGGAGTTTTACGGATATACTTAATTTCTTTACCACTGACTTTTTTTTTTTTTTAATTCAGAATCAATGAATGAAAAACCTGACTGTCATCTTTGTTGTGCAGTTGTACATAGAAGTATTTCTTCCAGGCATCATGAATTTATGCAGGCAAAACTTGAAGTTTTCTGGTTTATATGAAAGCTATTTTAATCCATTCTTGTCTCTGGAGAGTGTTTTTAGATGTACCTGCCACTGAATTTTCAAGACTTTAGGATGAATACCTCAGTCAGAGTTTCAAAAGATCTTATTTTCTAAGGACTGGAGTAAGTAGTTTGATTTTTCAAAAGAGTCCTAATAACCAATATCTTTAGAAAATCTACTGGTGGTGTCACCAAGTGTCTCAACTGAAATTTTTTTTAAGTCCAGCACCATTATGAGCATTGAGAATTTGAACACTGGGATCCTAAGTGCCCTTAGTGAGGTTTCCACTGTTTTTTATTGATTAAATAGTGCCAATTTTTCAGTGTTACACACTATCATATATGTACTGTATGTACATATCTCTTCACCCATGTGACTGTAGTAGAAATTTGAAAAGACTGTTTGATGTGAAGGGAAAACATCCGAGAACTTTGTGAGTTTGAAAGTAGCAGAAATTATATAGATACAAGCAGTGCCTGTAGTGGGGATGATTTTTTTTAACTTTTATTTTTTTTAAACCATGTGGAAAAATCTCTCTGACTAGTTTCAGATTACTACTTCTTGTGAGAAAGATGCAATCACTGTCCTTTGGTATATTTCAAAGCTTTGTAGTACTCAAACACTCCATGCAGGAAATGTGCCTTCAAGGTAAGAATACGTTTACTCCCTGAAGCGATTCTCACTTTCAGTCCTCTTTCTATTTCTCATTATGGTTTTAATATTTTTAATGTGGTGAGACTTGAGGTATTGCATGGAATTTTGCCTAGAAACATAAAGTGTCTTTGATCACAAGGGGTAAAGATGAATAATATCTCCAGGCAGCTGAGCTTATTTTAGTTAATGTCTCTTACATTTATTAACTATGGACACTCTGCTAGAAAAGGAAAATGGGTGAATTCAGCTGAGAAATACTAAAACTGACTGATGTTATTTTTGTTCTTGCTTTTATTTAGATTTAAATTTAGTCATCCTATGAAGGAGTCAGCAGTATCATTATAAGCACTGCAGAAATAATTTTCATTCTCTGGTGGGTTGCTGGCTGACAGTTACTTGATAGGATGTCCAACACCTATCCACATTATTTAGTAGCTGCTAAAACTCCCTCTGGAACAGATCCCTCTCAGGATAGAGAGCAATTGTACGTGAAAGAGCATGAAAGCAAGTGGAAAAGGTGTACAAAGTTCAGCCTGGAGGTGCTTGTTATTTTGCTTAAAATTCTCAGTAATTTCCTTGGCCTTTCAGTATACTAATCAAGTTCATGACAAGTCACTTATGCTCCAGATGGTGAAAAATTTCTTTCAGTGACTCTTAGCAGTTTGTGTGCATAGCTGTATTAATCTCTAGAACTGACCAGCACAAGAATTTGCAGCACACAGAGATCACTTACAGATGATGTACTTAGCCTCTTCTGCTACTAGAGTTAAATCTACATCAGGACCTGTCTAAGATACAAAATTTTGTGCTAACATGCACAGCTGTTCCTAATGTTCCTGTTTTTGTTCAGTCAGCCAGCCACCCCTCACACATTCAGCCATCCATCGTCCCATCCATCCCACCCTCCCTCCCTCTCTCCCTCTCTCTCTCTCTCTCTTTCATACTTGCAATTCATTCTTTGCACTATTGACATTGATTTGTTTAATTATTGTTTTGTAACCTGTTCCTACATTCTTATTTTGTAAAATAAGTAAGTCTATACACTGGCTAACTTCATAGAAGTGGTTTATTTTTTTTTCTTTATATCAGTTGAAATGGGATGTCATGTTTTGTTTAAACTACGTGAAAACTTAAATAAATGTTAAGATCAAACAGCATATCCCCATTTTCACTGTGAAATTGAAGTCATACATGCTGTATATTCTGATAAATGTGAGGTCTTGAATTCAGAAGAACAAAGGGAATATTTTGAATGGCATAAAGGACAATATAAATTACAAGTAATGGGACTACATACAGAAAATAGCATTACTTCATTTGATCATGCAGATTGAACAATAGACTGCAAAGGAAATAGAGCAGGTCTAGAGCTTGAGCCACATAACAGTGTGGAGTAGTAACATAATATGGAAGATGGTCCAGCATTTGAACAAATCCATCCTGAAACAAAGTAATAGAGGATTGAAGCCTCTGTTCAGTGGTCTCTTCTTTCACCACTAAAAACAGGAGTATATGAAAGTATGTGACTTAATTGATCAGAATGTCTGTTTGCAAAGCAACTATAAGGTCTAGAGTATGTAGAGTCCTCTGCTATGATTCTCTGTGCTCTTTCAAAGTTCAGTAAGTAATGCCATGTGTCATTTCTTACATCTTTCCACTTTCTCAGTCACTGAGACCCATTTCAGTCTGTTGTTTTTCTCAAAAGCATTCCTTATATCAGACTGAAGAGCTGGGCACTTCTCTTGGCCAAATAAAATCAGATATCGTAAATGCTGTTCAGAGTATTGCCCTGGGCTCAGTACAACTGACAGTAAGTCAAGCATTTTATAGGTTCAGAAAATGGGGGTAGACAAGGTACGATGCCTCGTTATTTAAGAGTAAATCAGGTCAGCCAGAAAAAACAAGGAAAGTTAGGATTTGGGGGCTTGTGTACTAACAGTTTTTTACTACAATTCAGATACTCAGTGACTTTTGGAAATAAGCATATAAAATTGTTAGGGCAGGATTTTATTAATCCTGATAGCTTGCTAATATGCATAATGTTTTTTAAAAAGAAAAAAAAAATGAAATTTTAAAACCAAGGAGCTCAAAGTTCCTTGGCAATTGTGTAATCCTTAGAGATAAGTGAAAATAACAGCCTGCAAGAGATGGAGAAGTCAGAGTATCAGTGCAATGCATACCCAAACAGAAGACATCGCTAGAGTGAGACAGCGCAAACTGGAGAGTTAAAAAACACGGTTTTCTTTCGGTACTCTCAGTTGCCGTGATTGCCCACCCTGAGATATTTTGCAATTGCAAATTTTTAAGACAATAAGTGATGAAGGTCACAGCTGGAGATGAAGCAAAAGATGGAGGAGCAGCCATTGTTTCAGCTTAGGTGCAGGTGTGGGTCACAGCCGATGTGTCTGAAACATCAAGTGGCCGAGTCCCAGTTTTGATACTGCGACTTTTGGTCACAGTATCAACAGCCTAACAGCAATTGCTGTATATAAAAAGGGAATTAGAATAGTACTATATATACCAGCTATGAAAGGTGTCCTTCTCAACTCTGAATAATGGGACAGCAAAGCCTAATGGACAGGGGTGACTGTAGTACTGCCTTCAGTAGCACTGAGGTACTTCAACAAGTGGCAGACACATGCTGGGGTTCAGGAGGTCTGGGCAGACTGGTCCTTCCCTGGTTGGGGACCTTCTGCAGCCTCCCAGTTGTTACTGCCCCAGAGGCTGTAGATAAACTGGGAGCAGTCAGCTTAACCTAAAGAGCTTCTGAAGGAAAAGGCTGAATACAGGCTGAATACAGCTGAAAGTAACTTCTTAAACTGTGAGCCTCTTTTGTAAAGATTTTCCTGATGCAGGACTGAAAAGGAGAGCTCAACTCCTTTGTGGAAGCAGACAAATTTGTTAGAGCATGGTCACTTCAGCAGTTGTAATAATACAGAGAGTGTTCAGATGGGAATGAAGAGGGGAAACTTTGTGTCAGTGCAGATACAGGCAGAGTATCAGAGTTCTGACTTCAGGTCAACCAAAACAAAAGCAAAACTGCAGTTTTTAAATGAGATTAAGAGTTTAACTGCTATGGCATCCCCTGTGCCCATCTCCCTTTTATCCAAACCTTGTTTCTCACTGTTTGAATTTTTTTCCCCCCAAACTGTTACAGGTACCCTTTGCCGTGTCTGTCAGAAAGTGACAGTTGGTGCAAGGGGAACACCCAGGGGGGTGCTGGTAGCAAATGGGATATGCTGAAGTTACAATCTCAGCAGAGAAAAATGTGTGCTAATACCTCATGAAATCCTGTGGCAAGTCAGGAACTATGCAAAAAAATGTGACTTGGGGAGTCCCAGTCTACAAATACTGATCTTGAGAACAAATAAACAAATACTGTAAAAATTAATATGAATATTATGAAAGACTGGAAGGCTTTTGAACAAATATAATTAGATAGGAATATAATTTGGATCGGAACAATATTTTCAAAATCAGCTCTCGAATTGTTCAGGGCCAGCAGTAACAGCATGATGAAATTGCGAGATGACTGACATTTCTGCTTGGTAAGTTGGGGTCCATGGTATGGTCCTACCCGGAGAAGTCAACCACAGGTTGGAGCAAGGCCCTTGGCTGCGTGCTCACACTCCGTGGGTTCTCAGAAGTGAAGGGACTGTTGCTCTCTAGTTAGTGGTCGCTGCCAGGTTCCTGCCTGGAGTACTGACCTGCTGCACCAAGCAGCCTCAATGAATCACAAGTCTCACTGGTTTTCAAGACTGAACCCCGTGCAGAATTTGGCCCATTGTAAACCAGCTGGATCTCAAAACTGGGTGTTAGAGTTGACTGCCACAGCTGATTCCATATTTAGCTGAGAAAAGGACAACAGACAAATTAATTTTTCAGTGGTGTTGACTAGCCTTTTCACCCGAGTAGTCCTTACCTGTCTGCAGAGTCATGCACATATTCAGTTTAAATTTACATCCATAAAGCACTTCAAATACCTCCAACAAAAAATGCTGTCATAGGGTAATGTTTAACTATTGTCCGTAAAAGACAAAAGCATTGTGTGTGTTGTTGTCCTGGTTTAGGGACAGTGCAGTTTCTGAAAACAAATTCTGTGCTTCTTGTTCCCTCTCCTTCGCTCTCAGAACCACCTTAAAGGTGTAGAACCTAATATCCAGCATAAACAGAACAGGGACTGGGGATACAAGCATCATAAAGTCACCCCAGGATATTTGTATAGGTATGCAAGGATATGTACAATTATGCATTGATGGAAAGAACAATTCGACAAAAAGGTTTGTCGAATTTTATTTTCTGGACACTCTTAAAAGGGACAGCCACTCCCCACGGCTCCAAGGTAAGCCACTGTGGCTCAGGCCAAGTCCAGGCAGCCAAGCCCACTAATCCTGTCTGGTCAACCCTCATGCAGCTGCTGCCTCATTCTGGAAGTACAAAATTCCCAGAAGCTCTCATAAATTTGCATGAAAGATGTCTGCAAACACCAACTGTTCCTGTATGACCCAGACTATCACAGTTCTACACAGCCAAGTCCAGCCTGGGTTTCCAAGCCAGGTATTCCCCTACTCTTCCTCTCTTGAGGATTCCAACCTGCTGCTGTGCTCACAATGAGCACTGTGTACTATAAAGCTGTGCACTTGTCAGAACGCTACACTGCTGGTAAGTGAAAGGGTTTGGCATCCCTTTTTCGTCCTTGTTTGAGGCTACCTAGAGGGTCAGTGGGAGGTTGAGAAAGTTAAAGACTGAAAAGAAAGATTGAAGACTTTGAGGTTTAGTGTAGTGATCAGGTTTGTCAATCCATGACTGCAATTTATGAAATTTGGTTGAGTATATTATGGAAAAAGTCCTTGGAACAGGAATTAGACACCAGACCTACCCTCTCCCTCTATCCAAATTGCTTTTTCTTTTGAGCTCACTTAATCTAGAAGACCTGTTGCCCAGTGAAAGTACTTAATAGAAGTACTTAAAGTACTTAACAGTACTTAATAGCACCATTTGAGGCTAGTTCCTTATCTGTTTGCTGAGATGCTACGGAAATGGACCCATTTAACCCATTTACCTTCTTACAATGTATTTTCTAAGAAGCAAATTGTTATAAGAGGTATTCTTCCAGAAAAAAAATTATCTTTCTGTATTAGAGCCTGCCACATATACACAAATACAACTATATGCCTTTGAATAATTGGGGCAGTTTTCCTTCCCACCTACAAAAAAGCACATGACAATCAGTTTCAATCTCTCCTGAAGGAGTTTCTTACCTACATTTTAGGTTCAAGAAAATGATGTGTTAGTTACTAATTTTCCATTTACATTAACCATTTAGTATTTACCATGTATTGAATCTATGTTCATAGCAGTTACAGCCAACAGTCATTGTTCTCAATGCAAGGGCTACTGGACAGTTTTAGCTCAAAGAAGGAAAATTTGAAAGTGTATTTTTTCTGATTTGTTTTTTGCTGAGGTTACTATATTGCCATAGGTGTTCTGCCTCCCTCTTGTGGCTACCTCTTTTACTTTCAGCTTGGAAAAGAAACATTCACAGTGCAGCCATGATCAGAGTTCCTTATAGTTGCCTTCCTGATATAAGTCTCCTCCTTAAGTTTAGTAAAAAAAAGCCCCGTTATTTCTGGATTCTCCCATACAAACAAAAAACTTTTAAAAATGAAATAATAATAATAATAATTAATAATAATTGTCTATCTAAGAGAGAGATTCTTTTACATCCATGTAGGAACAACCAAACATTTTTGATAAAATCAGTGGTAATTCAGGCTGGTTACGTTTTGTGATAGGGTCTGAATGTTTGGATTCAAGTCAGCCACATACAGGAGCTCCACCCAGGAGTTCCTAAGATATACTGCAGGGGACAAGATATTTTCAAATCATGCAAAATGCCATGGCCTATATATTTTAGGATATCACTGTGTTCTTTCCTATCACCATCCATTTAAATATTATGTAGTCCTTTTCAAACATTAAGAAATCAAGCTAACTGAAGAGTTAAATAAAAGACTGTAACTCTAAGGTGATAGGAAAACCAAGACAGCATTAAATGGCTGCCTCGGAATGGTAGAGCCCCAGCTGAATGCAGATCTAATGTCCCTCCATTGCTTCCCCAGCCCAGAACATCTCCCTTCAAAGTCCTTAGCAGACTTACAGCATTTGCAGGGTGACTGACCTTGAGCATACCTGCTCTGTGCCCTTCATTCTTTTGCAATTTAAACTGATATCAATATAGCACTTAATAGCCTTACACACCATTCAGAAAAAGATGTGAATTTTATCTCGAAAGCCATAGGTAGAAAGTGGGCAGGGGTGACATGAGCATTTGCAGAAGTCTACAGTAATGGAAAGAGAATAAGCTGCACAGTTGAAACATTACTGCTGGTCATCTTGCTTTGTCAGATCTAAAACAAAGTATCTTTCTAGTTCTACACCCCTTAGTTGCATCCTCCAGCTTCACCCCCAAATTCGACTGGATTTGGCAGCAGAGCGAGGGACTTTCTTTGACCACTCATACATTTATATAACTGTTCAGATGATGTGCATAGAGACCTTTTCACTTTGGGTTTGAAGTGAAAAATTTGCTTCAGATTAGATGATGCCCATCAGCACCTCCTTGACAGCTGGCCAGTGAAAACATTCATGGGACCTGAGCCCAGCAGAGCTCAAAGTACAGACTACCAGGGACTGGCTGTAGTGACAGCTAGAATTTATTGGGAAAAGTCTTCCCTTGTGCCTGCAGACCACATCCAATAAAGGCAGCATTGCATCCTCACCCTGTGACTTTAACACTGTCCCTGCATCTGAACAGATGGGTCAGAGCATGGGTTAGTCTCTCCAGGAAAAAATGCAGCTGTCTGAAAACTCTATAAACTGGAATTTCTGTTTTCTGCGCAGCAGGTGTTCTGCTCAGACCATAAAATAGTGCAGGTATTGCAGATGTGATGGGATGCCTCACTAGAAATATTTTCTTTCAACAGAGACCCAGCCACAGTGACCACTAATCTGCCCAGAGTCTCAGTGGGAGAAATGAGATGGCTGATGTCAGTAGACCATATTGCAAATCTAGGAAGATCTGTAGCGGAAGATGATGCTTAGGATGGAAAAACTCTGTTTTGTCTAAAGCAGCGAAGCACGGAGTAGGAAGCAGCTGAGGGAAAATGTGAGTTCCAGTCTGTAAGTGCAGATCCCCATTTTTTAACATGTTTGCTCCTGTCAAAATCTTGGCATGCCAAAGACTCCAAGGTTATGTATCGATTATCATGAAGACTGGAGCAGAGAGGAGCTCTGGAAATGGGTCACAGGTTAGGAATGACAATAAATGCCTAAGGTCCTATAGCTCCACTACAGGATGAACTGGGCTGGTTCATTCCTGCTGTTTTCCTTTCTCTTAAAGCCAGGGACTCCAGCTGCCCAGCAGCTCTCACACTAGTGCAGCTTTGCACTTAGATAATTTGCCTCAGAATGAGAACTCCACATTAACTACTCATGAGCCATAGGTTAGTTCCTGCTGAGTTTATGTTCACTGTTCCTCACTGGGAAGACTAAATTCAGCCAAAATTGAACTGGAGTTGTTCTCTGCAAATTCCACCCAATCCTGTGAAAAACAACCCTAGGACTCATCAAGGGAGGAAAAAAAACCCAAAAACAACATTCTGCTTGTCTGTCTGACGCCTCTCATGCTGGGTCCCAGAGGGGAGATAGGATCACCTCTGGCTACACAGTGTAGGGCACACCTATGGGTTTTCCATGAAAGCTGTAGACTCCTTGCCCTTAAATCAGCTCTATGAAATTCTCAGCAACCCAGAAGGTGGTGTCGATTGCACCTGAGCACAAAGGAACAGAAGTTTTAAGTGGGAGGCAGTGAGCATCTGAAGTGGAACAAATCTGTCTTGCACAAAAGTATTTTTAGCAGATGTGAACATGTGGGTGAGGGAAAAAACACTGAGTTAAATACATCACAGCACATCTCTGCTGGGTGGCAGCAGCTTGTGTGATGTCTCCCACACTGCCAGCTGTGCCATAGAAGCCGAGGCTGCACAAACACACGCAGTCCCAGAGGAATCACAGTTATCACTCACACAGACCAGCACCATGCCATAGTTACACACTGCCTACCTGTATTCTGGCATATCCCAGGTGAATTACTCTATCTTAGGTCACCACAGGGAGCCTGAGGTATGTAAAGCACACTGTTATAGGTCATTCTGTATGGATATTTCATCCTCTGATGCTTGTATATATCAGAAATACCTTTGCTGAAGTTAATTCGGTTCTGCTGTGGACCTTTGCACATCATTGCTTCTGGCTGGAATATATGGCAGTAATTAGTAAAAGCATTTATCAGCATGCTACGTACAGCTCTGCTTTGGATCAGTAAACTGGGACATTTCATATGAGGAGACTAATTGGTATTTTAAGTCTGGCTTTTTTTTTATCTGACTTCTTTGTTGTTTGGTTTCATGGATCAGAGCCAGCAATATTTTTGGCTGTTGCTGAAACATCATCACAGCTGAGTAGCTGTGATTCATAACAGTTACAGTCTGAGTGAACAATGTTACTACTTTAAAAGCACTTCAGCAAGGTACTAATGTAGAATGTGTAACTAACTCAGAGGCACTCCTTTACCTCACACCCTTTCAGAGAAGTTCAAACCTTCAGAATTTTAGGGACTTTTTTTAGCTGTTAAAGCATCGGTATTCTGTATTCAAATTATGAATCATTCAGTTTGTGGAGACTTCAGCATTATGTCAAACATGCACACATGTGAAAACTGAAGGGGTGGTCTGTGCTTTAAGACCAGTAATCTTCCTGCTACAAGCATGAGAGTTTGCTTAAAGCAAGCAGGGTGTGCATTTCAGTAATGGCCAATTCTTCTTCAATAAAAGGAAGCCTGGAGACTTTTCTACATGACAAAGCATTTGGCAACAATGTTGTTTTGAAGCATTTCCTCCTCTGGTCACTTATTTCTACTCCTGTCAGCTCTTTCAGTTGCATTAACACATCTTTTGTAGGGCTGCCCTATGAACCAGATCAGGAAACTGATCCAGGTTAAAAATTAGCTAGCAAAGGAGGGGGAAAAAAAAAAAAAAAAAAAAAAAAAAAAAAAGCGCAGCAAGGAACTGGCAAAAGTAGAGTGTGGTGGCACAGAAACAGAACAAGCACAGAGTGGTATGGGAAGGAAGTATGAACGCCTGAAATCCTCATTATCACTGAATACTTGGGGGTCGTGAGAAAAACTGAACCAGCGTCTCAATTAAGCTTTGCCTTTACAAATTAAGTGTTGTTTTGTCAACCAGAAACATGAAAAAACCCCACAATCTCTGGTCCACAAAATCCACAATGGCAAAAATCTCTGCTAAGGTGTAAATTAAACATAGCATATGGCAAGAACCTGAAAAAGACCTTCTTGTCTCCTCCAGCTGTAGCTGATCATTTACCAGAAAGAGCTGCTATAAAGGCCACAGTGCACAGGTGTGAAATGATTCCTTGAGGAAAGTCAGTCTCCTAAGCAGAGGAGGCATGAGTGTTCCTAGAAAAGGAATAGTTTTTTCAAAATCTGACATGGAGTTTGTGTGTAAGTCAGATAGGGAACTATGATTCTGCTGGAAGAGAAATCCTGGCATTGACAGGAGAGGGTCAAGCAGTTGTTAGTGACAGCTTTAGAAGAAAATCTCTGGTACCCTGGATTTTGTGGTGCTGTTCTTCAGCCTTTGAAGAGGTGAGAGATCTGTTGAAAACAGATGGGGACAGAAAGAGCTACAGTAATGAATAATAGCTTGTCACCTGCTCATATAGTCTTCTGTGAAGTTGTGACCTGGGTATTTTGCTTGGGGCAGGAATTTGCTTTCTTATGTTGGTAGCTATGTCGCTCTGACTGGAAAACTAAGTGCATCATTTTATTGTCCAGTTTAGACATGACCTAATGAGAAAGGGGTATACAGCAGTTGTTATCAAAACACTGTATGTATTCTGACAGTAAACAATCTATATTAAAGAAAAAATTATTCGTATTTCCTACTTTGCTTCAGTAAGGACTTGGTAAGAGCAGAGCAGGCCTGAGACTCTATAAATCTAATAATGAAATAAAACATTCAGAGGCACTCCTTTACCTCACACCCTTTCAGAGAAGCTCTAACCTTCAGAATTTTAGGGACTTTTTTTCAGCTTTCTTGAAAGCCTTGCCCACTCTAGCACTTCAAAGGTGAGACTTCACTGAAATATTGTCTGCCCTCTGCAAGATCGTGAGATGCAAAATACATTGCTGTATGAGGAGAAGGTTTAGCTCTCTGTGAGTTGTGAGGAAGGCTGTTGTATTGTATATATACTAGACCCTTAGAAGTGGTGTTAGTGTGCTTTGATAAAGCATATTACTGTGCTTCAAATTCTAGATATGAGAGCAATCCAACTAGAAGAATAGAGGTGCCTTGCAATAAGGGTGATGTGAGCTATTTAATTCCATTTCTGCCTTGCTAAAAAAAACTTTTTGGAAAACCCGTTGCTGAAGGCAACAGGGATATGTTTATTGGTTTTGGCTTCCAGCTACTACATCATTATGAGTAGGCTGTTAGGAGAATGTTAATTAATATATATATATATCTTATGCCATTTAATTAGGGGATTCTTATTCAATACCTGAACACTGTCTGAAAGTCATATCAAGTAAGTTTTGTTATGTGTCAGCCTCCCTTCTGACTCTTGAGCGACTGTTGCATCCACAAAAGCTTTATTATGATGTGTCTGCTTTTAACTTCTGCCTGTACCCAACATTTTGGATTGTGGCTTGGGCCACTTATTTTGGGTTTTAGCTCTGTATGAACACTTAAAAAAAGAAACAAAAAGAACAAAATTATCTACCCATCCCTCACAAACAAACAAAATTTCTCCAATTTAATTTAAGGTTATATTCTCTCTTCAGTACAGTGAATGGAAGCAGTGAGAGGGACTTAGAGAAAATAAACTCTAATCTCACAATGTGTGAACATAACTTCAAGAAGCATTTTCCCTTAAGAACATTTTTTAGACTGCCTCAGTTCTGTGTATGTTTCTGTTTTATCCTTTAACGCATGCTATTACAATTTGAAGTTTAAATGTGTATCTCGTTATTCTAGAAACATGCCATTTCAGAGATTGGGTGAGAAGGTTTACTTTTTGACTAATAATACTAGTGTGTTGCCAAAACCTTCTGAAAAGTGTTCAATGGCTTAGCTTGTTTTTAAGGTAAGAATGTAATAAATATACTGGGTGAAAATTGTATGTTGTCCTCATGCCTGAAGTAGGAGACTTCACCAGTAAAAGAGCAGATTGGTAATATGGACAAGACAAAGATGACAACTCTGGAAGGCGTGCTGACAGTGCACATCATTCTGTCATCCTGTAATACAGTTAAGACAAATTTTTGTTTTCCTTGCTTGACCATCCCCCTCAGAGGGAAAGGGAGCGAGTAGACATAATCACAAGTCATCAACAAAACAAATCTTTGTTTCAAGAACTAGGAAATTAAAAACCACTGTTGTCAGCAACACCTCATACTAAGTAGTCAATTCTTCACAGTATGATCAGAAATTATTTCAAAGAAAAATGAAATGCTGATACTGCTCTGGTAGTGATTTCTCCAGATGTAGGAGATCAGGCATATTCATGGTCTGCTCTTGGGGGCAGAGGATTAGTTTCAGAATTTTTTTTAATTTTTATTTTTTAACAATTTTCAGATGAACCAAAAAATATTCAATTAAAAAACCCCTAAACAACAGAGAAATATAGAAATTAAGATTTCAACATACATTGAATTTGCTTTAACTTAGCATCAAGAATTTGTGGTTCTTTCTTCCAGCTTACTTGCTAGCTGGTGGTTTTCTGTGGCAATATCAGACACTTTCCATATTTGACTTTCTAGATTCAAGTGTATCCCATCCTTCCTCCATCAGCAAATACTTATACATCAGTTATCCCTTTGCAAATGTCTTCTTGAAAAATACGCTGTGTAGAACAACCGATTAGTACTTGCCAAGAACTTTAAAATGGAAGGGTGGTCAACCCAAAAATCATACTGAAAAAAAAATAATTTCTTCCTTCCCCACCCCATGCAGCTTCCTATTTACAAGTTCAAAAATCTCTGTTCCAAAAGAAGTAGTTCCATGATGGACTACGAAGATGAACTACAGATATCCCCACATCCTAGACCCTTTGTATTAATTTAGCTACTGTTGCAGTAGTAAGTAATTTGCCCTGCTAAGGAGAAGCAAGGGATGCTTCTGAACAGGCCAGGAATCATTCAGGGTATTCAATGTAGACTGTGTGTCTCTAAATGCAAAAAGTTTGCTGTAAAAGATGGTTTGTCTTTGTCTCAAACATTTGGTAGAGAAAGAAATATGATTGTGTCTAGGATTGAGTGGGAACTTTTCTATATTATTTCCTTCTCTAGCACACCAAGGATCAGCTTTTGATCTTGTGCACAAATCATTTTTTCCCTACACTATCCCATATTTGGCATGATTTTTACATTGAAAGAGAAAGTTTACCCAAATGTCATCATCTTTGCTCTCAGTGTAATGTCCACCTTTATTATGGGGCTCAAGTCTAGACAGCCCAACAGCTAAAGCAGAAGTGTCCATCCAATAGTACAGCTGATGTTATTGCTAAACGTGGTGAAGCCACCCTAAGCTGTCAGTGGTAGAAACCTTGGGGAGAAAGATGACAGGGTAACACACAAACATAGGAAGATTCACACTTGTCCAGCAAACAAAGTAGAATGCTGGCAGATAAATACAGATAACTATAAAAGTAATGCTGTTATGTAGCTTATGCCTTCTGATGCTCCCCAGACTATCAGAGTTGCTCCTGCACTATACACAAGCATGTACATTATTCCAGTCTAACAAAATGCTAAATTAAGTAGAATCCCCTGCCATCTGTACAGCAGGCAGCCAGGGTGAACAGACTTCAGGAAGTGGCCAATTCGCTTGACTCCCCAAGCAGCAGCTGAATTGCCATGAATTAAATGGACCATTAGTCTGACTCAATGGGGCATTTCTCATGAGGGCTTGATTTTGTTCGCAGCAATATTCTTCAGAGGCACTTAGGGCTTTGCAGTGCTGCCCAACAACTGGATATTAGTGCCTGAGAAACTGTGAGAGGGCTGTGCACGCAGGTCTTGCCTTCTGGGAAGACAGTCTGATGAAATATGAAAAGGAGCATGACACCAGACTGTGGCAGTATTGCTAAAATGCCCACATGTTAAATTTTTTAACTGTTTAGTAAGCCACTCTGAAAAACTGGGAGGGGGATAGGAAACTGTAGCCATGCAATGCCTTGTTTTGAAAAGGGTATGAATGGTAACCTGGTTCCTTCCTGGTAAAATGCCAGTCATTTTGGCAGTTTTGTTTCACAGTGAAGTACAAACTTTTTGCAAGAGACTACTATCTTCCTATCAGAGGCATCAGAAGTCAAGTAACACCAGCATCTCAATCAATCCCTGTAATTCATTCATCAGACCATGAATTAAGGCTTCTGAGCAGGCAGATCCTCTTCAGTCCTGTTGGCTGTGCTATGCTAGTGGGAAACTCCAGCAAAAAACTGAGGTTGACAGGTGAGAATGGTAGGACTTTGTAAACTATGCTGTTTTTCTGGCCAGGGCTCCAGCAATGTGAATACTGACTTAATTAGCAGACCCACTCTAAACCAACCAGTCATGTCCCTATACAAAGTCTGCAATCCAGCAAGGAAGGTAGTGTGTGTAACTGTAGAAATGAAAGATTTTGAGGAACCGAAGGGGAAGGCCTCCTGTACCCACTGTATGCACTAACAAACTCCTCCCCATCAAAAGATGCCAGACAGGAGTTCCTGAACTTGTTACTGGGGCTAGTTTATAGAGAGGACTTCAGGCTGAAGGTTACATAACAAATGTAGTTTACATCACCACAGTTGTTGAAAAGATGTAACCTACTAAGTCTTCTGTTTGCCAAGTCAGAATTCAATGTAATTTTTCATTTATGCTTGAGTGGGCTCCACACAGGTGAGTTATTGGTGGAGATCTAAGGGATGAGTGGAGTTCAGAAGTTATGCTAAGGACTGAGCAAAGGTGGGAGTCATTAATGCTGATGGAACAACACTCAGAGGTGATAAGATTTTCCCATATTCCATGCCTCTCATAGGTTACCATAGAGAAAGAAGACAAAGAGGGAATGGAAGAAAACACAATAAAGAGGGGAAAATGGAAGTCAAGCCAGCTGGCAGAGCTCTGACAACCTTTTGCAGAGATGGGAGATCCTGTTGCCACTGAATCAGTGAAAAACTATTAAAAGCAGCCATGCTGGAGATCAGTAAGCATGTGTGGACCTTGATGAGACCCTGAGGAAAGACATCTGTAAATCCTTAGGTTGTGCTGCCTCCCTCTTCCTGGCCAGCTCCAGCCTCAGCTACCAGCCCAGCTGGTGGCACACTTCCTACAACAGTGGCACCAAGGCTGCCTGGGCAGCCTTTAATCAGCTGCTTGTGAGGGAAGGCACCAGCACTCACAATGCCAAGCAGAGCTCAGAGCCCCTTTCCTGTGGACCCAGAAGAGCCATTTCTGCCTTGTGATGATTACGTGAGGTTTTTAATTGCCTTAGAGCAACCTCCCGGGGACTGAGGTGAGGCGTGTTGATTTCTGCAGAGCCTGGTACCAGTTGTGACCAGCAGCATGGACAGCAGGGCCTGAGCAACCTCTTCTGTGAGGGCTGCCAGCCCTTCTCCCAGGGCTTTGCCCTGGCGTGGCTACCACAGCCAGCCCTGGTCAACAGCAGCTGACCATGAGTCAGTGTGTGCCCAGGTGGCCAAGAAGGCTGATGGCATCTGGGGCTTTATCAGCAATAGTGTGGCCAGCAGGGCCAGAGCATTGATTTTCTCTCTCTACTTGACACTGGATCCTGTGTTCAGTCCTAGGCCTCTCAGTTCAGGGATGCCATTGAGGTGCTGGAGCATGTCGAGAAGGGCGATGAAGCTGGTGAAGGGTCTGGAGCACAAGTCTGATGAGGAGCAGCTGAGGGAGCTGGGGGTGAAAAAAACCCGAGCTCAGGTTTTTGCTCTCTACAGCCACCTCAAAGAAGGCTGTAGCCAGGTGGGGATTGGCCTCTTGTGCCAGGCAACCAGTGATAGGTCAGGAGGAGAGGTTGAGGTTGCCCATCAGGGTGAATTTCTTCAAATAAAATGTGATTAGACATTGGAATGGGCTGCCCAGAGAGGTGATGGAGTCAACATCAGTGGAGATGGTTAAGGAAAAACCGGACGTGACACTTAGTGCCCTGGCCTAGCAGACACGGGGATGTTCGGCCATTGACAGGACTGCATGGCGTCACAGGGCCTTTCCAAATTAAACGATTCCTTTTTCCCGTCCCGCGCGCGACAACGGAACACCCGGCCACCGCCTGCCGCGCGCGCCTCGTGACGTCACGCCCCGTGCGGGGATGG